GGGGGCGGGGCCACATGGCAGTACTGGGCGTGGAGGGCCTGCAGCTTGGAGGGGCCGTCAGGGGACAGGGGCAGAGGGTGCGGTGGGTGGGCGGAGGGGACCGAGACCTGGCCGGGGGGCAGCGGGAAGGGGGCCCGGCCCCGCTTGCTGCCGAAGAGGGAGCCCAGGAAGGAAGAGGAGTTGGAGATGGGGCGGGGCTGGGCCTTGTACTCCTCCAGCGGGGGGGGCGGGGGCATGCGCTGGTGGGGGCGGGGGCTGCTAATGATAGACCCCTGCGGGGAGACAGAGAGAGAGAGAGAGAGAGGTCAGGGTATTGGCCGCTAAGCCCCGCCCACTTCATAAACCACCTTGGATAAGCCCCACCCACTTTTATGACCCCCACATTCTCATAAGCCCCACCCACTTGACAAGCCCCACCCATCTCCTTCCCCCCACTTTCTTTTATAAGCCCCACCCCTGTGATAAACCCCTGCCCTTTTACAAGCCCCACCGCCTGTCATAAGCCCCACCCCATGTACAAGCCACGCCCCTTTTATGCACACCATACCTTTAATAAGCCCCTCCCCCCCACTGGCTACCTGAAAAGGGGGAGGGGTCAGAGCTGTACGTAGGACAGGAGGAGCAAAGCATGCTGGGAACGGAGCGGAATGCAATGGGGATGGGGATGGGGACGTGTCCGGCTGGCTGGCCGGGAGCAGAGCATGCTGGGATGCCTGGCGGGGGCAATGCGGGGGCGATGGGGAGGCGGACAGCTGAAGCGACAGGCAGAGGGAGGTGGACAGAGCGGTACCCGGCGGGGGGGAGGGGACACGGCAGCCCCCCCCCACTTACTTCGATGGTGCTGTCCAGGGATCCCACGCTGTTACGACGGCCCCGCTTGCCTGCACGGGGGGGGGGCAACAGCAGGGATTAGCGAGGCTGGGCCCCCCCCCCAACACTGTCCCCCCTGAAGCCCCCACCCTCCCCAGGAACCCTCCAGCGAGAGACAGAGAGACAGAGAGCGAGCGCAAAGCAGAGCGAGCGAGGGCCATCCCTGGCACGGCACGGCGGGGGTTAACCCAGCCAGGCCACGCCCACACTCCTGCCCCCCACATCCAGGGGGCTTCCTATTGGCCAAGTGTCTCACATGGATTTTCTGCCACCAGGGGGAGCCACAGCCCCCAACAAGAGCCACGGGGACCAGGCGAGAACCCAGGCGTCCGGGTGCCCAGCCCTGCCCTGCTCCCGTCCCAGCGCTGGGGAGGAACCCAGGTGTCCGGGTCCCGCTCACCGGCATCCGAGAGGTCGCGCAGGGAGCTGCTCAGGGCGCTTCGCTTCAGCCCGTCGCCCAGCCCGTAGGTGTCCTCCAGGCTGCTTCGCGTCAGCGTCCCGTTCACCGCCTCCTTCGGGCCCCCCGCCGGCGAGGCACTGGGGCGCATCACCCCCTTCTGCTTCTCCAGCTCCGCTGCGG